CTCTKWWCTYAARGGTCYTTTCCAACCTAAATGATTCTATTAGTGAGCTGTGTGYCACATCAGTTTTATTCTTTTAGTCAAATGTTATCTATTTGTCTGAGTTGGTGGTGCTTGTTCAACAGAAGCCAGCTTTCCTACCCTGTGACCCTTTCTCACCCTGTATGACATCAGGAATTGCACTGTTGGCAGCAGTCTAAGGTGTAGCACTTGAAGTTATTCTCAAGAAAGACAGACGACTTGTTCTCAAGAAGCAACTTTATCTTTTGGGTTTGCTGCAGGAAAGAGGCAACAAGGACATTGGCTTTTCCCATCTGTGTCAGAGATCCCCCAAGGAAGTTGCTGTTTGTGTGGTTGATCTACTAAAGCCATTGTGTAAGCACATGGAGAACATGCACAACTACTTCCAGGTAAGTGGGCAGCAATTTGACCAAAAAAACCATCAGGTTTTGCCTCCTGTGAAGATACTTTTCATTTTGTTTGGGAGGAAAAAGGATCACCTTTTTCTTCAGATTTTCAAACTTACGGAAATGGATTCTTGTGCCATTATCTTTCTTTGGAATAGCGTTTAATGAATTATTTGTTCTGTATTGAAGGCTGCTGTACAAAATCAGGGTGCAGAAGATGAACCAACAGTAAACATCCAGGAGCACCAGCTGATGTCCTCTTGCTACCAGCAGCTGTTACTTACTTTTCGCTCCTTATTTGCTTGGTGAGTTTAAAAGAAAAGTGCTTGTRTAAGGAAAGCCCATTTATTGCTTCCTCTTCATGTTTCTGTTCTTTAGTTTGTACCCTGCCAAAGGCCAATCAGCCATGAATAACAACCCACTGCAATGAGTGGAGTCTTCTAAACATTTGAGCATTTCTGCTATACAGATCCTCACAGACACTTGGAGTTCAAAGAAATAAAGATCTCTACAATTTCCCTCCCACTCCCCATTAGGCTCCTACCTTTTGTTCTAGAGGTGACGAGCCACAGTCACTGCATTTGTGCAGCTGTTGTCATTATACATACTCCTTTTTTTTAAGTCTGCATAGCATTAGTTAGCTTATGGGTCTCCACTTATGGAAAATGGCCTCTCCTCACCAAGCTAGATCTGCAGTCTAACTGAAAAGTTAATATTGTTTGTGCTCAAGGCTTTCCATTCCCATTCAGTTTCCATTTTTTTTGGTGTCCCTTTGTAACTTTCATATTGCAGAACTCATCTTGAGTATCCAACTTCTATAATCTTGCAAAATATGCTTAGATATGCATTTGCATCTGATTGCCTTTTCTAGTCTGATGGTGAATTTTTTTTCCCTCTCAGGAATGGTTTTTCTCAGCATGAAAAYASTGATTTGCTGAGGTCAGCTCTCCGRGTACTTGCAGACAGGCTAAAGCCAGGAGAGACAGAGTTTCTTCTTCTTGAGGAACTGATAAGGTATAATCTGAATTTCACAAGGTTTGAAGTKGACAAATTTCAAGGAATTTTCCCTATTTTGTGTGGGCATTATAGGTAAATGTGTGTTTGGGAGCTCTCATAGAGACCCCACTCAATTCAAACAGCTTTACATTGAATGGCAGTGTAGTCAAACCTCATGTAAAAGAGTAAAAATAACAATATGTAAAATATGCATAAATCTGTGGATCTTGTTTGTATGCTGTTTGAGACAAGGAGAATAGTAGTATTCATAGAAGGAATGCTGTGTTCTGGAGAGTTAAAATGCTTCCAGGTACACAGAAGCAGTATATAAAGCTGTTATATAAAGCTTAGAGTGGCTGGGGTTTGAGGGGAGTTTCTCAGTGACTAAATTCTTATATATTAGTGACTGACCACCCCTTCTTTAGAAGGGCATTGCCAGAGACAAAACACTGGGATAGGGAGACCTTGGATCTGAGATGGTCTAATRCCTCTTTTTCATTTGTGTCTGAGAGTCTTTTTACCTTTTCCCTTTTCTGTTATCCYCAGTGAGAGTTTTCAGTACCTCCTGAACTTCCAGCAGAGTGTTCCCAGTTTCCACTGTGCCTACATCCTCACTCAGCTCCTGATTGCCATCGCTGAGAAACCCATGTCTGGCTGGAAGAAGGAGAAAATGGGTAACGTGTGAAGAGCCACTCATSTCAGATGAGTTTTTGTGTGGTCTTTTGCCTTTTATGGGCACATTTCCCTTTCACATGCTGGTAATCTCATTGGGTGAGCATTCCTAGCCATTAATAAAGGGAATAGCAGTGAATGCATTGGAACCTCTTTGGTATTTGTTCTGCTGTGCCTCAGTCACATAGGCAGACTCCAGCTCTCTCAGCTGATGTTTTTAAAAATCACAGCTTCACAACTTTTAAGAGRTCTAAGCATAAGCCTGCTGTTCAATGTTGGAACCATCTTAATCACTGATTATGGAGGTGATTGATCATACACTTGATCTGATGTAACTTCCTACTGTTAAGTACAGATGTCTGTGGCAGCTCGTTTCCAAAATTCATGGAAATGAGCTGCAAATACAGCTGTTACTCCAGGGCAGAGAGAGGAAAACCTGTAAGTTTTTAACCYCATGCCACAAATGTTTTTAGTTAAGAAAGTTCCTCTCATGGATTAGGACCCATTACGTAAGATGAACAGCAGATAAGGGACAGACATGGTTGCAGGGAATATATAAGAAAACTTCTTGGTCTCCACTTCAGCACATTGAAATAAAGACTCCAGACAGTTGCCTCTCTCAGCCATTCCTCATCATACTAAGACACCTCTAGAATTTGTCCTCCAACCCCCATAGCTATGCAGAATTGTAGATTCCCTCCTTTGAGACTATTTTACTATTTTAAACAGTCCCACGCTYGGAGAACTATTGACTGAATGTGGCAGAGAATAACCTATTCTAACTAATCATTTCCTGGTTTTAAACATTTCTGCAAGAGATAAGCAGGTTTGTTAGAGGTTCTGATTTCAGAAATCTCTAACATTTAAACTTGTCTGTTCATGTTTATTATTGTAGTGCTGTGGCCAAAAAGCCAAGTCACTTGTTATTGGAATTTCATTTTTGGAAATGGATACCCTAAGGGTTGCATATGGCCTAATTAAAAACAAACACATGGAATACTATAGGAGCTACCAAATAAGGTTTAATGTAATTCTGTCAGGCAGAAATGGCCAGGGGTGAATCATGGTTCTGATGTGAACAGGTATTCCAGACCAGGAGCAYGCTGGATGTGAAAATATTTTATCATGATAATGTCCTGGTGGCCTTGCAGCTTTTAGGGAAAATGCATTCTGACTTAGAAAGCTCAGGCACATGAGAGGTAGTGAGAATGTGTTCTTTAAAAAAGTCATTTGAACATGCAGCTTCTGTATRGAAGAAAGAAATGGTTTAGAATTATTATTTCAGTAAGTTATCCCTTATGTTTCCCAGCTTCTCTAGCAAAGCAATTCCTCTGCCAGTCGTGGGTGAAGCCCAGTGGAGACAGAGAGAAGGGCAGCCAGTTCAACAGTGCCCTGCACACCCTGCTCTGGTAAGGYTCAAGCCATTCCCTCAGGCATGCCAAGACACTTTTTCTAATGATTACTGTTGCTGCAGAAGAATGGCCYCTCTGAATCATAATCCTCATGCTTTCACAGCTTGGTCTAAAGCCCTGTTTCTACACTGTTCCTAAAGCACAGTTTCTCTCTTGGTTTGAAGCATGAGGTCCAGTTGAGCACCCTTCCTCATCAGGTCCTCTGTCACTTGTGTCAGGARCTTCTCATCAATGCCCTCCAGGAGACTCCTGGATTGCCTGTGCCCTGCTGGGCTSTCCTTCCAGCTGGGATCATGGTGGTTACCCCATGAGGATCAGGGCCTGAAATATAGGAGTACTCCTGGCTGTCTGTAGAAGGCTTTGTTGGCTTCTTCCTGATCCAGGTGGCCTGTACAGATASCCATTTCAATGTCATCCATACAGGTTGGGTGTTTTCTCTCAATTCCACCTCATCCTCTTCCCAGCCTGACCTTCCTAAATACAAGAATCAGGAAATATTGAATCCATGTATGTTTCAGATCATGATAGCTTTTAATGACATCACTGTGAYAGTTTTAAGTACTGCTTTGGGTTTCCTGCATGTGATTGCCTTTGGCAGAAAAGAACTTGTCAATTTAGGCCACATTTGCAGGTTAGGCAGTGTTCAAAACCTTGTTGTGTCATTCTGCTCAGTAATATTTACTGATCAGCTATGCTGGTTTTGGATTTAGTGTCTACCTGGAGCACACAGATAACATCCTGAAAGCCATAGAGGAMATCTCCAGTACTGGTGTTACTGAACTGATGAACTCTGCCAAAGATGGATGTTCTTCTACTTACCCCACATTAAGCAGGTAATTATAGCAATAGAAACTTTAAATTGTATGATATGCATAGTGGCAGTTTCTGCTTTTAAATATTTTGTTTTCTTATTTTGTGGTCCATTGTGGTTTCATATATATATATATATATATAGTGTTTTTATCCTTATTATATTCATTTAGTTTTCAATATTTTGTTTTCTTATTTTGTGGTCCATTGTGGTTTCATGTTGGTACTGTGGTGGCTACCCTGCACACTGGTAAACACTGTTTTGGCACTGTGCAACTGGGTAGCACGTGGTAGCTTTATGCCAAAGTGGAATGTCCTGTGCTTAACATGATGTTGAGTTYACTGCTGTGACCCATTTTAACTGGAGAATGAATTGCTGTCATCAGGTGTGYTGTCTTTCTGTGCTACTGTGGTGGTACAAAGCAAAAGTCAGAGGCCTGGGGTGGCTGTAAGCAATCTGGGCTGGTGTGCAGTGGGCAAAAGCACACTCAYGGTGCTTCTGCCCCTGGCACAGGAATTTGGAAGCAGGGATGACCAAAGCTCCTGCACTCTGAAACTTCCAAAATCATCTTAAGCTGAGAACTGCAAGCCTTTCACTGTGTACCTCCAGAGCCATAAGGAAGTGGTGGTGTCTAAGTGTGGTTATACTGAGGAAATGGTAATGACTTCCTAGGAGTCTCCATCTGTCCGCACAGTTGGGCTGGGCTAGACATGTTTGTGAGTCCTAGGGCCAATCTCCTACTAAGAAGGATGCTCAGCTGGGTAACCTCTGAGTTTTCTGTATCATTCTGGTGATAAACAGCCTATCAAAATGCTTAGAGCTGACTTTGAATTTCTTCATTTTCTCCATAGGCAGACATTCCCAGTTTTCTTCAGAGTGATGATGGCTCAGCTGGAGAGTTCAGTGAAAAGCATCCCAGCTGGGAAACCATCAGACTCAAGTGAGGTAGGAAAATAAATGCACTGTACTCTTTGAGGGGAAGAAAGCTTAAGTTAAGTTGGACARTACAATGAAAAGGTATTAATTGGAAAGGCATTTACTTCTGAACTTTATCTAGGAAATGCAGTCAGATGCCTTAATTCATCAGCCAACACTGRTATACAGGGTAACATAAAAGTAGCATCATTTTTCCTTGATTTGTACCATGTCAGAAATCTARTAAATCCAGCAGAAGCTGTAACCAGAAAATAAGCATTAATCACAAAAAYACTAAACTGTTGCAGTTGGTCTGCATACCTGTGTGGGAGCACATCATTTTGCAACAAAGAGCTGCTTTGAGAGCAAAGAAGTGAATTAACACCTAGCACTTTAGACCACTGCTCAGGCTGGAATTGCCATGAAGTGGTTTTGCTATAATAAATATGCTTGTGGTGAAGCTTTGTTCCTCTATCTTCAACATCCACAATACTTTGGACACAGCAAATGCTGAAAGCACATCCAGCAAGGTGGGAGGAAATGCACCATCTTGGATTATTGTYTTCTTGCATGCCATAGGTGCAGCTGGAGAAGCTGCTGCGCTGGAACATTGCTGTGCGGAATTTCCACATCCTCATTAACTTGGTCAAGGTGAGGTTCTGGTTGTTGTTCTGCCTTTACCTTCAAATTCCCATCAAAGCCTGGTGTTCCCAGGCTCGTGAGCATGAGGGCAAAATGTGAAGTGTGCCTGACTAGTGGAACAACCCGAAGGTGGTAAATAAAGCCAGTTATAATCTGTGCCCAGATCCAGTGAATGAAATATTCCCTTCTGTCAGTTTTGCAGCTGGTTCACTCAGTGTCTCTGTGATGCTGTTTGGGGTAGAATGTGATAGGTACAGCTGCACTTTTCTCCTTCCTCTGGTTAATCATTACTGTTTATTTTTACATTTCTGAAGTGATAATTGGCAAGCCTAGGTTTTTCAAGTCCAGATTTTTCTATAGCAGCATTCACTGGAGCCCTACCTGTGTTCCAGATGCTTTTTGAGAGCACAAAGGGTAGAGCTAGACCACTTAGTTCAGTTTTGTCCACAGTTCAGTTTAGCCCATAGCAGCACCAGGGTACCTTCTCAGTTTTGCTTTGTCCATTATGTGGTGACTCTTTTTTCCTCTTGTCTGTGTAGGTATTTGACAGCAGGCCTGTACTCAGCATCTGTCTGAAGGTAAGCCAGAGTTCAAAACAACTGAAGATAGAGTTTAAATACGAGCTTTCTTGAATCATTGTCTTCAGTGCAGTGTAGTGGTTACTGGATTCTCTACTTATACCTTGCTATACATATATATATGTATAGTGATTCTAACATTTTCCCTTTAGTTCAGTTTTATTCCCAGATGCCTTGTGGATAAAAYTAGGGATGTGTACAATGATGAGACTGTGTCCTTCTAGCCTCTCTTTGCAGTAATTAAAGTGGGACACTTTACTGATCCTGTATATTCCAGTGCAGCCTTCACATTAACATAATCTTTTTCTAAGCAAGAACAGTCTCTTGGGTAGCTTGGAAGGATGTATCATTATCTGATCTGACTTTGTGATGGTTCTTTTAGAAGGAGTTTAAATTTGCCTTCTGATATATTTATCCCTCTTTTATAGTACGGCCGCCTCTTTGTAGAAGCGTTTCTGAAGCTTGCCATGCCTCTCCTGGACCACAGCTTTAAAAAGCACACGGTAAAGCCTTCTGGGGACAGAACTGGCTGCAACCAGTTGGGAAGCATGACTGATACTTCGTGCATACATAAGTCTTACCTCTATCCCACAACCCTTTATTAAAAGGATTGCTAGGACTAATGCTGTTTCAGTATTCTTGTTTCCCTATGGAAAAGTCCTTTGAGAATGATTTGCTGGTCTACTTACTTATTGCAGGATGATGTGCAGAGTTTGCTGAAAACCTTGCAGCTGAGTACTAGACAACTTCATCATATGTGTGGCCATTCCAAGGTAAGATAAGTTCCAACTGCAGCACAAACTCCTGTCTTAAGGATGGTGTTATTTCCCTTCCACTGCTTTTCCAGGGCATAGGCAGAGTCTACTTGAGTGCTTCCAGCAGTGTCTGTACAAGCAAAAACACTGAGAGAAGATGAAATAGCCTTGTTTAATGGCCCAAAAATTGAAGTATTTATTCTGGAAGTGGCTAACTTGGATGTTAGATCAGGTTGGCATAGTATTTTTTAGGAGTGAGGTTCTGGACACCTTTAGTTGTTGGCATCTCTTAGGGGGTGTTTCTGAGGATGAAAACTAAGACCTTAGAGACCTTGAACAAAGCACAGATGCCAGATTGATAATGTGGGAGAGAACTTTTGCCAAAGATGAACAGCTTTGTGAGTCAGAAAAATCAGCAACAGGAGGCAGATGGGGAAAAACCCTGCTCAAAGTCCTCTTGAGGTGACTCTTGCGTTGTTACATTGGTAAGGGCAAAGGGAGAAGAGGGAGGGTGGTAACTCAGTCTGCCTGTCTCTGTAGGAGACTTGGGACAGGAAGGAAGGAGAGGATTAGCCCTTTGCTTACAGTGTGGAGAGACAGTTCTTGTTGCAAGAGACAATCACATGGCAGAAGACAAGAAAGAACTTCATGTGTCCTACTTTGTTCCCAACTCCTAAAATGTTCACAAACAGTTGCCCAAGAAGGGAGTTTTGCTTAAGTGCTGAAGGGAGAAAGTCAGCTACCAACATGGCTCCTAAGCTAGATTTGCCCCCCATTTAGGCCAGAGTTGGCATCAGGAGCATAGAAATTTAGCTGAAGATCAGAACATGCTGTTGCAGCTCTCAGCACAAGGTGAGAATTGGAAGTTGGCACAAACTCTGGCAATGCTAAAATGTCCTCCTGTTTAAAAGTGGAATCCTCATGCCTGCTCTAAAGTCACAATTTACTTTGTAAGCAGGATAACAGCATTTCACCTTTCCATGTCATGTTTGTCTTTGAACTTGATGAGAATTTTCAAGTGATGTGTCCCATGATCCCATGATCCTCATTAGAACAGAGCTGCAATTAGTGAACACCCATATTCTAGCACTGGTCTGGTGCCTGCTGCAATCTGAATAGGGCTCCGTGCCAAATCATTTTGCAAGAATGAGAAGGCAGAAACTGAATCTGGGGCAAGTAAATGCAATGTATGCTCCATACTTGTTTGAAGAGTTCTCACCAACATTTATTAAACTAACCTTGATTTCACTTTCATACAAACCTCATAGGTGCTCACTGACCCATCATGCAGTGTGACCTAAGATTTGTCACTCTCCCTCAATACATGTGTCTTTAAAAGGCATCGTACAGCAGACAATAGCAATCAGCTTCACCTGTCATTTTCTAAGTATTTTTGTCATTTCCTCTCACACCAAGCCTCTCTTCTGTTTATGTATCTAACCCTGGGCACAAGGACAGTTTCTGGAGACAGATTTTTGCCAATGCCGTGGTACTTTGTTGAGTCTCCAAACTGCCTGCACACAGTTGGGCAGGTTCCAGGCCCCAGGGAACACTGTGAGTGTTGATTGTGTCATTAGCAAGGGTTTTGCTGATTTGGTTCTGATTAGTGCTGATGATTGCTAGGTCCTGCTTGTTACACAAACTAGAGAACAGCTTGCTGTTGGTAATCAGGTAYCCATTCCCTGCTGGCAGAGCTTGAAGCAAAGCAGTGTCCCTCTGCCCAGGCATGTTGAACTCTTCCAAGAAGTGCAGGTGACCTGAATTCATAGTATAGCTAATGAGAGCGTCTTAATTCCAGACGATTACAAAGTATTCTCATGAAAGAGGAAAACACTTAGGTACAAAATAATTGTGCAGGTTTTGGCAGGTTGACACGTTTTCTGGTTTAGCAATGTCTGTTCTGTACTGCAGATTGAAGCCTAGCAGGAGGAGATGCTCACCCAGAGCTAAATCTCTCACGATACCTGGCATAGCTGCCCATCCTCTGGTGGTTTTTGCTTACAGCAACTCCATCTGTTCCCTCCTGTCCTAGTTTTCCAAAAGCCAGTGGTCCATAGAAGCTGGAGATTACAGTGAACACACATTCCATGTAAAGGAATTGCACGAGCCACTGAGCAAGAAAAGATTGTGTTGGAAGTGATGTATTCAGCACCTTTCTCATTTTTTCTTTTCTAGGTTTGGGAATTCCGCAAAGGAATTACTAGCCTCTCTCTAAAGCTCATGACAAAAACTGAGGCTTCTTTTTTAATCTGGGTGAACATAGATGTTTGGATTGCTACAAGAGATCATTTTAGACAAAATACTGATTGAGCTTTCTTTTTTAACAACAGCTATAATTTGACCAAAAAGTGACATAATCAGGGTAAATTTTGTGGGGGTCATGTCCATCCCACCTAATAACAGATGGTTTTTAAACAGCCAGAACACTTAGGCACGAATCAATGCTCATCGCATTTTCCTGTTTCATAGATTCACCAAGACATTGGACTGACCAACCACGTGCCTTTGTTGAAGAAGTCCCTGGAACAATTTGTGTACCGAGTGAAGGCAATGCTGGCATTCAACCACTGCCAGGARGCCTTCTGGGTCGGCATCCTCAAAAATCGGGATCTTCAGGTGAGAATCACAGCCCTGCCTGGGACAATTAAAATCTGGGGGAGGACAATACTCATCTTGTCCAGACAACTGTGACCCTCCCCTTGTGTGTGGGTATAGCTAAAAGGCCAGATTCAGTGTGACCATAGTACAGTCATGTCCAGTGCAGGAGAAAGAAGCAGTTTATTTCAAGATTGAGGATCTGCATCTCTAGGCTCTCACACTGAGGGGACAGTTTGATTGTAATGAACAGGTACAGGGATTCTTTGGCTATGCTGTGGCAAGAAACTACATGCACAAGAGGGAAGAGATAAAGGTCGCTTTAACAACTTTACACACTTTCATGTGTGGCTTTAAAAGAAGTTCTGCCTCTTCATCTTTCAATGTAGAAACAGGATAGTTAAACAAAACCTGATTTTTTTTTTGCTCTGAAGCTTTTTATTTAAGAAGGCAACAAAATGCCCTTTTCTTCCATCCCACCCTGGCACCTTTTGGCCGCTTATATACAAGTCTTTCGAATTCAACTTAGGGAGAAGAAATTTTGACTCAAGCCAGTGAGGAGAGGGGCTCAGATGAGGACGAGGAGGACGCAGAGGACTCGGCGGAGGGCCCCGCTGAGGAGGTACTTCAGGGGCCGCGGGGCTGCRCCTCTCGAAGGCGGGGGAGGGTGAGGGTGCAGCTCCGGCGCTGACGGCGGCGCGTCCCGYAGGAACCGAGCGGCAGCGACACGGACGGCAGCGAGAGCGGGGGGGCCGGGCCCGGCCC